TCTACCAATCAAATTGGAGGAGAATTAAAATCTTAACTATTGCTGCATAACAAACCACTCTCAAAGCTATTGGCTTAAATCAACCAATTCTAAAGCGCACAAATCAGCAAATTGGGCAGGGCTTAACAGTGACGGTTCATTTCTGCTCCATGTGGTCAGCTGAGGTGGCTCAACTTGGGACTGGTGGGTCATCTTCCCAGATGGGCTACCCACGTGGCTGGCAAATTGGTGTTGGCTGTTAACGGGGAGCTCAGCCAGGATGAGGGCCAGGCGCCTTTGTTTCACTTTCTCTCTGGACATTTGGCTTCCTCACAACATGATGGCCAGACTAGAACAGATGTCCCAAGAAAACTATTCATAAGTGTATGACAGCTTTATGACATACTTTGGAAGACATAGCATCACTTCTGCCATAATCTGTTGGTCAAGCTAGTCAAAAAGTCACCTTCCCCTCGCCCAGTTTCAAGGGAAACAGCCATAAACACTCAATGGGGAAAGTGTCAATGTTATTTTGTAAAACAGCATATGGTAGGGAATATATTATGGTATCCATCTTTCAAAAGTATAATCTGCCACATATTGAGTGAGTGTTTCAGTTGATGAGCACGGTATATCTCAATCTATTTTGGTTTTTAATTTTTCTCAGCAAATATTTTATAGTTTTTACTGTACAGGTCTTATAGTCATTTTACTATATCCCTAAATGTTTCAGCTTTTCTGGTGCCATATTACCATATTCTCTCTCAAACCTAAAGTACAAAGTATGTTTGCATGGTTTCCATGTCTTTCCTTGTTCCTGTTTAGGAAACTCTATCCAGGCCTTTATTTTATTTAACTATAGATAAACAATAGATTTTGTTGTCGTTAATCCTCACCAGAGGATATTTTTCCATTGATTTTTAGAGAGTGAAAGGGAGAGGTAGAGATGGAGGGAAACATCGATGTGAGAGAGACACATCAATTGGTTGCCTCCCACATGAGCCCTGACCAGGGCAGGGGACTGAACCTGCAACCAAGTTTCGTGCCCCTGACCGGAATCAAACCCAGGACCCCTCAGTTTGCAGTCCGACGCTCTATCCACTGAGCCAAACCAGCTAGGGTGAGGGCATTTATTTTAGATGATGTGGTTCTCCCTGGTGAGGTGTCACTTGAGCAGAGACATGAGTTATGTGAAGGAGTGGCCACATGTAGATCTGAGCAAGAACATTCTAGATGGAAGAACAATTTTTAAAAGCTCAGAAACTTACTGTCTTGGGGAGATAGAGAGTAGGTCAGAGGTGTATAACTGGTCTGCAGTGAAGAAAATGTCAAAAGGTGAAGATGCTAAGATTAACTGGTAAACTGCATTATCTTTTGTGAACTAATCTTAGAGTTGACGTACCATCACCTCTGTCATGTAATATTTGTCACACAGACCAGTGTTGGTTGGATGTGGGAGAATGTGAATTCCAGGAAGAGGAACATTGGGGGTTTTCTTAGAGGATGCTCATCACAGTGGTTTTTACAGTTTTTATTATTTTCATAAGATATTGGGGAAGGGAAATTCCTCTGCCATTGGTACCCAGTAGTCTTTTGCATACTTGTTTACATGTAAATTTTCAAACCTACACAAAAGTAGAATATGTTGAACTCCCATGTCTCCATCAGTCAGGTTCAACAATTTTTAACGTGTCCTGTCTGTTTTATCTGTGTGTCCCCTATTTGCCATACCCCAGATTACTTAAATGCAAATCCACGATATCATTTCATCTGTGAGTATCCCCCATTTCATCTGTGAGTATCCCTAAAATGTGACCATTTTTTAACAAATATTATTACACCTGAAAAAATTAAAAATAATGCTATCATATCCACTTAGTGTTCTCATTTCCCCTATAAATAAATGCCCTTTTATTTTTTTAAATATATTTTATTGATTTTTTTACAGAGAGGAAGGGAGAGAGATAGAGAGCTAGAAACATCGATGAGAGAGAAACATCGATCAGCTGCCTCCAGCACATCTCCCACTGGGGATGTGCCCGCAACCCAGGTACATGCCCTTGACCGGAACCGAACCGGGGACCCTTCAGTCCGCAGGCCAACGCTCTATCCACTGAGCCAAACCGGTTTTGGCGACCTTTTATAGTTGGCTACTTTGAATCAGGATCCAAACAAAGTCCACACATTTACGTAACTGTATAAATAGGAAAAATTAGGAAATAAAAGGTGCTTAGGTTCACTTATAATTTAAGAAATGAGGATTTTATCTTTGTTCTTTCCTTCTATCCTGAACAATGTGACCTTGAATTCAGATCATTACAATGAGTGTCACCCAGTAGGAGTCAACATAATGTTCTTTCTATAGGAAAATGCAATCTAAATTCCAAACAATTTAGAGGCAAAGTTGGAGAAAATATCCCATTAGTAAGTTGAGGATGCCAGAAAATGCCACCCATATATCTTCACACTAGTGAATTCATCTAAGTCACTCAATTTAACATAACTCAGGTTGGCCATGCAACTAAACTAAGGTAACACCTGTATTATATACATAAATATATGACTCTCAATTATAGCTTAACAGGTAGTTCTAAAAAAAAATAGATGCAGTAAAAACTAAGTGAGGCAAAGATACTTCCTTAGAAATAATCCGGCATCTTGAGCTATTCTTACACATCGTTCCAGGACATGAGGCCCAAAGCAGAGTAATATTACTAGTATTCAACAATTATCTGCCAAATATAGACTGAGAAATTAAAAAACTATTTTTCAGGAAGAGAAAGAGTAGTTAATGGTGTTTTATTGGTACTAGAGAAATGTTCAGGTTTTTAATGAGCCACAAAAATATGACTGTTATTTTTATATGGTGGGAAATAAGTGTAAGAAATTTAATATGCCAGTTGTTTATAAAGACCTTAGGCACTCAGCAAGTTTATTTCTTCCTGTAAAATTCTTGCTGGTTAAGTAAATGCAAGTTGGGAGGAAAATGCTTTACTCTTTCCTGTGCTAAAAAATTGACAAAGCACGTACATAATCATAATGCCTTTGGGTTTGAGAGTAAAGGCTGATATTTATCTGCCTCTTGTGTTGTTACACTAGGAAACTTGGGCCTGGAGAGGGGATGGCTGGGGTCACACAGCTGCTTAGTGCTAGCTTGGGACTAAACCACACCCTCTGCCTCCTGGACAGGTGCTCTGGCCACTTCACCACAGGGCTGCCTTGCTAGCATCACAATCAACAGTGATTAGGGATCAAATACTGAAGTGGCAGTACGCATTTTACTAGAGCATTTCTTTTGAGATACTTTGGAAATAGGTAAAGTTGAGAAAGGTCACATAAATATAATCACTGCCCCTTCACCTTTTAGCGCCAAACCCTGAAATGGTAGGGAACCAAGTTTTCCACACCATCTGTTGTTACAAACATGTAAAGAAGAGTCTGTTGGAAGTGACTTGAATCTACAGTCTAGTAATTGGCATTTTAATCTGGTTTAATTACCAATGATTGCCATTTGTCCTTTTATATGATTGCCATTTGTCCTTTTATAGCAATTGGTCATTGCAATGCCCATAATCTATGGGCCTCTGCAGTGCTCCTATGAGTACAGTGTCAAGTCTGTTCTTTGACACCTACAGAACCTGCTTCACCACCAAACTGGTCTCAGCAGCTGGCTGCCAGGGCCTCTGAGGTGACCAGAGAGACAGCTCATTGCTGCCAGGAGATCAGGCACCTGGGCTGAGTAGCATCCTTTGGGCAGAAGTAGAACTTCGCCTTCTTGGCACTTCCCTGGTTGGAAGATCTAACACTTGCCAGGACAAACTCAAAACTCTCCCTCTGAGGGTCCTTTTCCATATCGTGGAATTGAACAAGGATTGATGAGTCAACAGGCCGGATGTGTATCGGTGAACTTTCCCTGTGTTTGCTTTATAAAAACCACTTGGGTAGAAAAAACACATGAATGGATTGCCTCCTTCAGAGAAGTTTAACAGGTGGGGTGGATTACTAAGCCTGGACTACCTATGTAGAGCCACTGGCTGCCTCTTGGTCACAGTGGCAGCCAACAGAGTAAGGCCAGCACTGGCACGTGGCTCTCTGCGCATCGGGAAACAGAGCTGCCCTGTGAGCCTGGCTTATCCAAATAGGTCAAGAGATGACATGAAGTTTTCATGGAACATTTACTAGGCAATGCCATTTCAGACTATAGAAATGATTCCTGAAAGTATTGTCTTGCCAGTGCCATTTCAAGACACAAGTGGTCTCTATTGTTCCTTGGTCCTCTTAGGAAGGCAAATTTTGTGACTTTCTGTTAAATGTTTTCTAATTAACCCTTGCTAGCATTCTGAGCTTCTCAATATGGCTTGTCCCATTTTCAGAGATTTTTTTAAAAATATTTTATTGATTTCAGAGAGGGAGAGGAAGAGAGAGAGAGAAACCTCAACGATGAGAGAGAATCATTGACTGCCTTCTGCATGCCTCACACTGGGGATCGAGCTTGCAACTTGGGCATGTTCCCTGACCAGCATCCAACCATGACCTCCTGGTTCATAGGTCAACGCTCAACCACTGAGCCATGCCAGCTGGGCCCATTTTCAGAGATTTCTTAATCTCCAAAATCTCACACAATACTTTTAAACAACTTAATGAGGTCCCTAGCAAACCCTTCAGGGTAATTTGGCTGATAAAAGGTGGGAGACCAGCGGTCAGGACAAATCAGTAAGATATGATTTAGATACTGTTTTGTTGTTGTCTTGCTAAACTCACATTCCAGGATCAAGCAGACCAATAGCACTCAATTTCTGGATTCCATGCATATACCATTTGCCATTTAGCTCACAGTACCTTATGTTTTTATGTATTGCTTTAACTTTGCTCCCATACCAAAATCGTAAACCCTAAGGGGAGAAACCATAGCTTTTTCTTTTGTGGATCCATTATAATAGCTTGTTAAAGCAGATACACAATTTCTATAGCAAGACATCAGGTATATTTAATATTTTTAAAAAAACGTTTATTATGAAAACATTCAAATATTTGCATCATCAACAACCGTCTGGCACTTTCTAAATTCTGTTTCATGGATGTATAAAATGAAGGCTGGGGAAAGATGTCAGTTAACTTTATGCTTTCTCTTTGCTAATAGAAAAAGCAAAATACAGTACACCATGGGAAAGACACTGTTGTAAGAATTACACAGCAGCCAGAGAGAGGAGAGGCTCCTGCCCTCCACGGCCAGCATTATATAGGCAATGATGAGCTGGGTGTGGGCCCAGGTGAGGGTTCTGTAGAGTAGCCTCATCGGCCAGGATCTGATAAACAAATTGGCAAAGGTGTGAATCAGGTAGTCAGCTTTCACCATCACAGCCCAGCAAAGGAAACCAAACACCTGTCCTGGGTGGAGTCCGTGCCACCAGGCGGAGAAGGCGAATGTCTGCAACAACGGCCAGGCCCTGCCCTGTTGGAATATGAGGCGTCTGAGCCACCGAGCTGTGCTTTGGTTCCATTTTCTCGTGAACAGGGATATCCTGTGGGTTGTTTCTAGCATCCAAATGTCCGCATCAGGGAGGTATCCCTCCTCGCCAGGGCTCTCGCCAAACTCAGATCCAAAGCCCGCAGCACAGAGGAGGGAGTCATCCAGGAGCCAGTGGGAGTAGTAGGTGAGTTTGAAGAGCCCAGCGGTGGACCACATGACATAGATGCACTGGAGTTGACGGCAGTCGGCCAGACCGGCTCCTGCACTCACCACCCACCTCATGACCACCATTAGGCACTCCAGTCCCAGAATCTGCAGACCCTTCCAGGTGAAAGCCCAGAAAGAGTACCTGGGACCCACAGAGCTGAACCCTTGAACACAAGCCTGAAATCTCTGGAAAGAACACAGAGGGCCTCCTAGGAGGCCAGGAAAAAAGAGCAAGTAGCTGAAATAGGGCAGTGCCCTACACAGATGCTCAGACAAAGAGCTCCTGCTCCTGATGTCTCGTGATGCTGCCTCCACCTTCCCCTCACAAATGTCCAGGGAGAGGGATGTGACCCTCTGGGTCAAGAGCATGAGGGAAGAAAGAGTGATGCAGAACCTGAAAGAGATAGCGTTTTTCATGTAAAAAACATTCCACATATATTTTATCCCATTCCAGCCCCTCACACATGACCCCACAAGCAAATAGGGGGTTCTGAACAATTAAGACCAATCTCATGGCCTGGAATACCCCCACAAAGACTTTTGAGTTAATTCAGAACCACAAGCTACTCTGGGAAGAATCAAAAGATAAATGGAGGGGGTTAATGGGGGGGATGAGGACACATTTGTAATACCTTAAATAATAATAATAATAATAATAAAAGTTTACAGACAAAAAAAAAGATAAATGGAGAAATTAATCAGTCAAAGAGGCAGATAAGAGAATGACAAGGAATATTGTGGGGAGGTATTGATTATAATATTTCTAAGAATGGCTTATAAAGATTAGGACCAGGGGCCTGGGAGAAATTTGCCATAGAAGCAACAAAAAGTAGTGAAAAGAATATAGAAAGTTGAAGATTGTAAAAATGAAACAACCCTGACCTTTTTAAAAAATATGTTTTTATTGATTTCAGAGAGCAGAAGGGAGAGGGAGAGAGAGAAACATCAGTGATGACAGAGAATCATTGATCAGCTGCCTCCTGCACACCCCCTACTTGGGATTTAGCCTGCAACCCAGGCATGTGCCCTGATCCGGAATTGAACAGTGACCTCCTGGTTCATGGGTTGATGCTCAACCACTGAGCCACACCGGCCAGGTCAATCCCTGACTTTTGCTGGCGATCTGTGCTGAGGAACGGTGAATCGAGCTAGAGGTTCAGTGTGTGCGCTGAGTCATTAACAACTGAGGTATGTTCTTAACCCAGTGATGGTGAACCTATGACACGCGTGTCAGAGGTGACACGCGAACTCATTTTTTTGGTTGATTTTTCTTTGTTAAATGGCATTTAAATATATAAAATAAATATCAAAAATATAAATCTTTGTTTTACTATGGTTGCAAATATCAAAAAATTTCTATATGTGACACGGGACCAGAGTTAAGTTAGGGTTTTTCAAAATGCTGACACGCTGAGCCCAAAAGGTTCGCCATCACTGTCTTAACCAATCACTTGAACTGTCCCTGCTTCACCATCACAAAGTGGAGAAGGTCCCACTGGCAAGATTATTGTGGAGAAAATGAAAATTAAGTGACATACTTGACGATCAGGAATGCTGTCCTATGGAGAGAAAATAGCATGCTTCCTAATCACTGTTGTTTTTGTGTGTGTGTCAGGATTTAAGGACCACTGGCCTCATTTGATTTATCCTAACAGTAAGCCAAGTAGCCTCCAAATGCCACCAACCCCTGTTCACTCACTTTCTGGTAAGTGCTGAATGTGTCCCCTACAGATTCACATGTTGAAATCCTAACCCTGGCACCTCAGAATGTGACTGTTTTTGGAGGTAGGGTATTTAAAGAGGTAATTATGTTAAAATGAGGTCATTAGGGTGGGCCCTAATCCAGTACGACTGTTATCCTTCTAAGACAGTGGTTCTCAACCTTGGCTGCACATTAGAATCACCTGGGAATCTTTTTACAATCCTGATTTCTGGGCCTCACCCTCTGGAAATTCTGTTTCTTTGTTATGGGGTGGGGCCACAACATTAGTAACAAAGAAACAGAATTTCCGGAGGGTGAGGCCCAGAAATCAGGATTGTAAAAAGATTCCCAGGTGATTCTAATGGGCAGCCAAGGTTGAGAACCACTGTTCTAAGAAGAGGAGATTATAACACAGACACAGAGGGAAGACCATGTGAAGGCACAGGGAGAAGGTGGCCCTCTGCAAGCCAAGGAGAGAGGCCTCAGAAGAAGCTGAACCTACCAACACCTTGATCTTGGACTTCCAGCCTCCAGAGGAAATAAATTTCTGTTGTTTAAGCCACCCGGTCTGTAGTACTTTGTTATGACAGTCAGAGCAAACTAGTACACCTTCCCATTTCAGCTCTGGCCCAACCTTGCTCCTGTCGGGCCAGATCCTGCTCAACTTGTTCCTCCTACTGAAATCCTACTCCATCACACCCCCATCTGTATCTTCACCCCCTCCTCCCCATCCACCTGCCATCTTGCCTTTTCTTCAGAGAAGCAAACCCTGAGGCTTTGGTAAAACAGAAATAAAGAAAAGGATTCTGAGTTTGATAGGGTTGGCAAAGTGAGTGAATCAATGACAGGTTGGAATCAGAGAGGTGACCCACCTCGACAGGTTAACGCCCCATTTCTCTGACCATGGACACATATCGATTGTGCTAACAGAGGGAGCCCGAAAAATAGGCCTCAAGATCGCAGCGATATTCTTCCCCCTAATCTTGGTGATGTCACTGACTCATGAAAACACTTTTCTAGGCTGTAATCAGCACCAATTTTTTCTTTTCTAGATTTTTCTTTCCTTCTTCTGAGAGGATGGAAAGGCGAGTCCCAGTGACAGTACAACTCTTGCACAGCAGGTGCCATGGGAAAGGCAGCAAAGGTTTACAGTGGATTTCTACCTTCCCTGTCCTGCTAAAGGGGAGGGCAGGCTGCTGGCTGCGTGTCTAAACCACCCACACGAGGTGAGCAAACTGGGCTTAGTCACTTCCAGGCAGCCTCGTCTGTGTGCCCTGGGACTCCTGGGTCAGCCTCCTTCTCTGGCACAATGGCAATTACTGCTAAGTGCCAGACTGTGCTTCATCGGTGACACATGGTAGTTATTAACAGTCATATAATTACATTTAATTCATTATCTCTAACATAAGAAAGGGTCTTGCAAGATAGGTTTTTTTTACACTCCTCCACCACCACACTTTTTCTTCTTCTTCAGAAAAAGAAGCTGAGGCCAGGAGAGGTTAACTGACTTGCTCGAGGTCACACTGCTCAAATGTGGAAGAATTTGGATTCAAGCTCAACGCCCAGTTCTGCTACCACAGTGCAAACAACCCCCTTGGACCGCTCAGGACAAGCACATGGCTGAACTGCTTTACCTCGTGGAAGGAGGTTCCTGCAGGTAATACTCAGTATAGTGCAAACCCAGGTGACACAGCGTCTGCCAGCTCATCTGAAAGAGGAAAGCCCACCTGTGGACCTCCTGTGGGCCGAGTGAGTAGATCAGAACCACGGTGCCCAGAGCAGGGATGAAGACAAGCACAGCAAAGGAACCCATAGCAGCCAAGGCCAGGGCCCCTCCTCCAGCCAGGAGAAAGAGGTGCCTGAAAGAAGAAGGACAGACAGCCCGTGAGACTGACTGAGAACACTGCGACACATGAGCCGCTTCAGTCACTCTGGGTGACTCAGTTGAAGCAGGCCTCACAGAACACCTAAAGAAGTCATACTGTTATCACTCCCAAACCTGCCTTTGGTTCTTCTGAAGGGAAAGACCACGGGAGAAAGAGCCAGAGTCCCTTTGTGAACGACTACCCCAGGAGCTCAATCTTGACTCCTGCTTTAGTGACCCTGGGATATACAGAATAGGGAATATAGTCAACAATATTGTAATAAGTATGTATGCTGTCAGATGGGTACCAGATTTATGGGGGTTCTAACTTAGTGAGTTATATAATGCCTAATCACTGGGTTGCACCCCTGAAACTAATATAATATTGTATGTCAGCTGTAATTAAAAAATAAAAAAATATTTAAAGTACAAAAATGATTCTCTCTCATCATTGGTGTTTCTATCTCTCACTCCCTCTGCCTTCCTCTCTGAAATCAATAATAATAAAAAAAGTGTGATTATATTTAACTAGAAGCCCAGCGTGTGAAATTGTACAGCCCCACCCACCTATGCCGGTCTTTGGTCATTATGGCGTTAGGGCTGCTGGGTTTTTATAAGATAGACCTTCACATCTGCACTGCAATCTATGCCATTTGACCTACCATAACATTCACAGATGTATGGACACAATCAGCCATCACACCTACCTGGCACGAGTGGGAAATGAATCCGTGCTGCAGAGACAATTAAACAGAAGTGCAAAGGGAAAAGCAGTCCCTTGGTAAAGGGAGACGGGATGGAGGAAAAACAGCCGAAGCCAACCCATTATGAACTGGCACAGAAGACACTGTCCTTTCCAGAGTCCTTAACTGGTGCCTTCCTGCAGCAGAATCCTCAACCAGGCTCCCTGATCTTTTTATAAGGTACAGGAAGGCCTGGGTGAGCAAAAGGCAAACAAAAGCACTAGGGGTAACAGCATAAACGTTGGTTTTCTGATAAGAGGAACTGCACTATAGAAACCAAAACATTATTTGTGGTTATATTACTTAATAATGACATGTACTAAAAACACTGCTTTCAAAAGTTCTGGTTTTGTTTAGTTTACATATCACAGTATTTGTCTTTCCAGCCATCTGACTGTCATATTTTCTTCACTAAGTTAAGGAAAGATCTTATTTTCCAATTGTGAACAGACAATTCTGCAGACTGGGGGAAAGGGAACAAGGACATGAGTATGAGGAAGGGAGTTGGGTTCTCAAAGAGTGAGAAGATCCCCCCTCCCAACTCCCACTGCCCTCCTTATGTTCTTTTTTCTTTTTCTTTTTTTTAAATCCTCACCTGAGGATATTTTTTCCATTGATTTTTTTTTTTAAGAGAGTAGAAGGGAGGGGAAGAGAAAGAGAAAAACATCAATGTGAGAGAGACGTATCAATTGGTTGCCCCCTGCATGCGCCCTGACTGGTGCTGGGGATGGAGCCTGCATCTGGGGTAGGGCCCTTGACCAGACTGAACCCTCGACCCTTGGGTCTTCAGGCCAAACCGGCTAGGGCTCTTTTTTTTTCATAGTATCTGTTACCACCCCCTTATAAATCTACTTCTCAGTTTATTGCTTGTCCCCCTGCTACAAATGTGAGCTCTACAAGGAAAAGCCTTTGTTTTGCTTCTTGCTGTATCCCCAGCACATAGAACAATGCTAGGCACATACTATGTACTCAGTAAATATCTGTTAATAAAAAGGCAGAGAAGCCTCTAACTCAGTGGTTCTCAACCTTGGCTGCACAGTAAAATCACCTGGGAATCTTTTTAAAATCCGGGCCCAGAAATCAGGATTTTAAAAACATTCCCAGGTGATTCTAATGTGCAGCCAAGGTTGAGAACCACTGCTCTAACTCGTCTGCTTCTGCGTTAAACCACCTGCCTGCACTGTTTCTGCCATCTGAGCAAGCCCTTATAGAGGAGTTCCAGTCTTGTTTCAACCAACAAGACTGAGACTGTCCCACAGTTCTGACCTATCAGAGTGGCTCCATTCTGATCAGGGGCGGGGACTTATGTCTATATAAGCCAGCTCCCCTCTGGCTCCAGCGTTTCATTTTTCACTGAAGACTACCTTTCTCCAGGTGGAGCGCAGCAGAGCTGCCTAGCTGAAAGGGGGCCTGACCTCAGGGCCTCCTGGCCCCGAAGCAGCCTCACGACCTGGCTGTACTACTTAGCTGTTTCACAGTCGTGCTGTTTTTACTGGTACAGCCATGCTGTATTGCCCTGGAGCTCCATGAGGTTTCCTTCTTCACGGAACCCCAAACTGTGGATTCCTGTTGGCTTTGAACTGGTACCAACTACCTTTGACAGTAGCCATAAGGGGTCAAAGGTTCCTTATCCCCCACCCTTTTATACTTTCTCTTCCCAAGTCACATGTCCAGGATTCTAGGAAATCCCACTTTACTGACACCAACTGTAATGAAAAAAAAAAAACAAAAAACTGAAACACAGAGTATGTGACATCTGAGACATAAAGGGTCTAAAGGGAGTGGGGCAAAGGACAGGTGGAAGCCATCTGGGGTGGAAAGTCAGCTTGGCTTCTTTGAGAATGAAAGTGTGATTAGAGAAAGAGGAAGAGGAACATGAAATTAAAGAAGAGAGAAGTAGGCAAGTGTAGGATCTAGGCCAGAGATTGGTTATGGAAAGAAGTTTGGATTTTATTTTTAATTTTTTTTTTTTTCAGAGAGGAAGGAAGAGGGAGAGAGAGATAGAAACATCAATGATGAGAGAGAATCACTGATTGGCTGCCTCCTGCATGCCTTACACTGGGGGTCAAGCCTGCAACCCACATATGTGCCCTGACCAGGAATCAAATCATGCAGTTCATAGGTCAAGGCCCAACCACTGAGCAACCCAGGCTGGCCTGGATTTTAAAAGGAATAGGAAGTAAAAACCAAACTGGATTTGGTTTTTAAAGCATGATTTTAACTACAGGCTTGGATGGGGTGTGGGTAGGCGTGGTGGGGTGACTTTAAAGGTGAAGGGTGGAAGGAGCAGACAATAGGGGAGCTGAGATTACATTAAAGAAGTGATAGAGTAAATGATGCAAAGTGGAAGCATGACAGACACCAGATATAGGACCAGCAGAACTTGCTGGTGAATTATAGATGGAGAGGTGAGGCGTGCCTAGAACAAGCATGTCAAACTCGTGGCCCGCAGGCCGCATGCAGCCCACAATGAGTATTTTTGAGGCCCAGCCAATATAACGGTATGTAAGAAACATTTTAATAAAAATTCCATAACTTAATTTTTACAATATCCTGTTATACATAATTATTAATAACGAACTACAATGCTCGCTAATGACTGGTTACTAGGATCGTATTGCATTCATTTCCCTTCCGTGCCTTCTGCGCAGGCGTACCATTTCTCTCCACTAATACTAGCAGCAAATATTTTAGCAGCCAACTGCCACCTCATTAGTCTTGTACTGACTTGCTTGGTGTGCACAACAGGAAATATTTCGCTTTCGGAGAACAAGAAAACTGGTTTACTTGCGTTATGCTTATTAATTTGTGCAGCTATTCAGTGCCTGATAAGTTAATGTTCAAGGAAAAATATTAATTTTTATTAAAACGTTCTATTATTTTATGTTAACAATTACTCATTTCAGTCCTTTGTATTTAGCATGTCTCTATTGAAATAAACCTACGTATCTATGAAAATTGAAGCTTTTGTTTTTTTGCGGCCCACATAAACTTAAACCTTGTTTATTTGGCCCGTGTTAGCCTTTGAGTTTGACATGCTTGCTTTACTGAGATGGAGATCAAAGGACCAAACTGGTTGAAGAGAGGACTAGACATAAATCTGTTCTGGACTTTCCAGGTTTGATAAGACTTTGAGGCAGTAGGCAATTGAATAATCAGGCGTGAAGTGCAGTAAAGGATTAACCCGAGAAAGCCAGCAGGTAAAGGTACTTAATTTGTAGGATTGACGGCCTCGTTGAGGAAGAGGTAAACTCACTGAGCAAGAAAGGGGCCCAAGGGTTAGCAGAAAGAATCTTAAAGAATGGAAACTGGAAAGAAGACTGAAAATGAATGGTGGGGTATAATGAGGTCATAATGATGATTGTTGGATTGGATTAAATGACCGTTTTAAATCTGAGTCTATCGATCCCTAGATTGAGTTGAAATCAGCGGGTGACCATACACCTCCCAGAACAAGCCGACTCACCCAGGCAGCAGAGGAGGGGCGAGCCCCACTCTGGCCCCGCCCCCGCCCCGCCCCCGCGGGCAGGCCCCGCCCCGCCACCTTCCAATCCTGCCAGGCTATCCAATCGCTTGTCGAGATCATCGCTTTTCTCAGGCGCTTGTGTCGATCTGGGTTCCAATTGGAGAGGGGGCCCAACCATGGCGGAGAAGACTCAAAAGAGGTGGGTCTGCTGTTTGAGAAGAGCCTGCTCTCCGCTCTCCGCTCTCTGCAGAGATGGAACCTGTTCTGATCGCCAGTGGCGGGGACTGAGATGGAGTCTTATCCCCGGCACTCGGCCTGGATGGTTCCTAAAGCCCAGGCCTCGCTTCCGCGGACGGAGGAGGCGACCGAATAGGGATCGGGAGGCCTGGGAAGGGATGCGGAAGCGGGGCCGGGAAGGGTCGGTTCTTCCATCCCCGGCCCGCCTCGCTGTCCCTCCTCCACGCGCCTGCGCGAAGGGGTCGGGGCCTGGGGCGTGGGGCGTGGGGTGTGGGGCGTGGGGCGTGGGTGAGGCAGGCGGGGGCCGTGAGGGGAGCGGGGTCGCCTCTTCCCTTCCGCTGCGCTTGGGGCCGCCGATCACCGACGGCTCGGAGCTGCCTTCTCGGGTGTGTGTTCGCAGACGCCCACGTTGGCGCTGGCCGCACCCCGGCCCCGCCTGCCTGTCGTGGGCGGTGTGTTGGTGTAAACCCGTCCACGGTCACTCGTCCGAAAGGGGCCGCGCCCGGCCGAGAGCTGAGCCGTGCCGCCCCGCGTGGATCAGCTCCTCTACGTGCGGGGGGCGGCCATTGTGGCGTCTCCAGCAGTCGCGTTGCTAGGAGCTGCCGGTGGAGGAAGGGAGCACTTGGGTGCGACCAATGCTCGGGTTAAACTGTGTCCAAAAGCAGCCTCTGCTGACTCTTCTTGGAAAAGAAAGCCGACAGACTTAAAATGTAGCTTGTTCTTCTACTTACGCAGGTAACCAACTTTTTTCATGAGCTACAGAGGAGCAGACCTACGACTGTTACTATAGAGCAGTGTACGGCGGAGATGCAGGTGTTTCTTGTTGACTGATTTTAATAGATCGTGGCTCAGCCTCCTCCCAGCTGCCTGCTGCTCCCCTGCCCGCCACGCAGGGGCAGTGTGTCCACCCGGAGACGTTTGGACCCTGTTTTAGTGGATTTGAGGGTGAATTTAATTACTTCCTGCCGCACAGAGAAGTATGCTGATTGTGACACAAACTTCACCTGGGGCGCTTAGGCATGAAACTGAAGACAGAGGGGGACTTGTGAATTGCTCCTGTCTTCACTTGTCCAGGACAAATCCAGTGTTAGATAATGCTCTTGTCATAAGAAATCATAGAGGGAGGCTGAGGGAATGGGAAGTTGGAATGGGAAGTAAGCTGTAAAACAAGAGGCATTTATAAAGCCGAATGTATTTGACCATGGCCTAATCCAATACATAGTTTAGCACACAAACCCACTCTAAATGAAAGGCATTAGAGAATTACCATTTACAAATGGTAATACATTCAAGGATCACGCCTCTCAAAGGAAAAATACCCAGCACGACAGGTTCTTTCCAGAAAACTTTCAACAGGAACGAGGTGATTGGTGCCAGGATAATGATGCCCCCCCCCCCCCCCCCCCCCAGTGAACTTTCTTCAAGAAATGTCTCCTCTCTGGGTTTCAGTTTCCTCATCTGCAAAATGGGAGATTATTTTCTGAGTTAGGTTACTGAAGTTTTTCTTTCTTACTCAGTGGAAAGGTTCTATATTTTCTGTGATTTCAGCAGAGTCAAGTGGCACATCGTAACCCAGATAGATCGCTTTTCAAATTTCATTAACTTGAGCCTTGTACAAAGCGTATGTCCAAATGATGGAAATACATGTAGCTGTGCCTTATCTCACAAACACTTTTTGAAGTTAGACCCAGGGATTATTCGGGTTTTTTTTGTTTGATATATAGACTTTTTTGCTTAGAGCTTTAAAAATATTTTGTGGTAGAAAGTTTTTTTAAAAAAATATATTTTTATTGATTTCAGAGAGGAAGGGAGAGGGATAGAAAGATAGAAACATCAATGAAGAGAGAGAATCATCCATCAGCTGCCTCCTGCACTCCCCCTACTGGGGATCGAGGCT